AGGTCAAAGTTCACCTCTCATAAGTTTAGGCAGCCACCTCCTGGGAAGGTAAATAAATACTGATGCATCATGTCAAAGCCATACAGCTCCAAATCCCTGGTGCGGGTCAGGCATCATCTGTGACTGAGAATATTCCTCCCTCATCTCCAGGTGCAGTCATTACAGGTATGAACCCTAGGCTGTCTGGGCATAGAACGTGGTGCCAGCCACATTGGTGTGTCACAACGTATCTGAGAATGCAGGTTGATGATAGGACCTGCCTCAGGATGGGGTGTGGTTAAAAGATGCTTGTACAGGGTTCAGCCTGCAGGAGGGACTAATGTGGACTGTTGGCCACCCTCCGAGTTGGCCACTATCTACGATCCATGTAACAGTGACTGAGTGGCACAGGCAGTTCAACGCTGGTGGTATGTCAGCCACCCTGGCAAAATCCCTTTGGAAGGGGCCATCTCCATCCAGGAGATAACTTACCGTATTTGTCCTCCAGTGTTGGAATGATCACCTTAGATAAAGCAGTTTGCCCGTGGAGTGGTGCCACATGTCCTGGAAATCTTTTTATGCCTTTTTAAGACTATTTTAACAACTTTGTTATTTTCTAATGTGATCAGAGAGAGACAGGGAAGGAAAGAGTAACAAAGCAGACTACCGGGTCTAGGACTTAAACAATAGTCAGCCATGTGGGAGTCCAGCGCCATTAGCCATCATGCTAACTGCTGGCCCCTGCCCTGGAAATCTTATGCTATCAATCTCTTGCACACTTTCCACAAGCTTGAAGTTCACTTTCTGTTTTCTAAACATCAACTAAAGAATGTTACGGAACCTGTGTCTCATTTTCCCCATCTGAAATAGGGAGCAATAGTACCACATTTAAAGATTAAAGGAGTAACTCTAGATAACGTTTTAAAAAGAATTATTTTAACTTTATTGCTATTTTCCAGTTTGATCAGAAAAACACACAGAATGCAAGATAATAGGTCCTGGAATTGAACCAAGGTTGACCATGTGAGAGTCTAACACTGTTAAACACCATGCCACCTGCCATCCTCAATATAGGTAAACTCAACACAAGTACAAAACAACCTGGCATTTAGTAAACATGAAAAAAAAATCAACTTATCCTGTGAGAGGATTTTTTTAAAAAAAGAAATATTGGGACCAGCAGATGGTGTGATAGTTGAGGCGCTGGACATTCCCACATGGCCAACCATGGTTCGAGTCCCAGACCTGGTGGCTTCCTTTCCCTCTCTCTGTCTCTGTCTCTTTCCTGTCAAATTAAAATAAATTAAAGAATAGATAAAATTAAATAAAATAATTAAAAATTAAAAAAATAGTTATTGGGGCCAGCAGTTTGCATGGTGGTTGAGGCCATTGGACTCCCACATGGCTGACTATGATTAGAGTCCTGGACCTGGCAGCTTTCTCTCAATTTAAAATTAGTTAAATAGAATAAATCTTTAAAAAAATGATTTAGTTGCATTATTTTCGTTTTGACAAGAGAGACAAAGAGAAAGCAGGACTTCAAGTCTGGGACTCCATCCACGCTGCCATGAGTAAATCCAGTGTCTTTAACCACCACACTCTCCCTACCTCCCACATCCAAGGATTTTTTGTGTGCTATCTATCTGGGGGAAGGTCCAGGCTCTTGCAGAGTCCTGAGGAAAGGTGCTTCTCTGTCTTCAAACTGGGGATTAATGAAGGAGATGAGGACTCCAGAGGGTAGGGAGGTGGGATGACCTCTGGGCTGGGGGAACAACACCCCATGCCTGAGGGTTAGCTCTGGTGGCCTGTGTTGGGGGAACGTGAATGGGAGACAAGGAAATGAGATGGGTGTCTTACAATGGTGGATACAACTTGTGGAGGCTGGTTGTGCTGGCCTTCAAGTAAGGCATGAGGCGAGTTTCATTACAAACCTAAGGTGACATGAGTACAGTGAACATTTCAGTGGTTCAGGCCTCAGGAAGGGAGGTGTATATTACCTGCTCTGCTCACCCCTGGGCACCTAAGTAGCCAGTGGACTCCACCACAACTTTCTTTTTTAAATAATCATTTATTTCCATTTGTTATTATTATTTAACTTGACCAGACAGAAAAAGGGCAAGAAAGCAAGCCCCAGGTCCAGGACTTAAACCATGGTCTGACATTTGGGAATCAAGCACCTTGAGCCACCACGCCATCTGCCGGCCCCCGCTGCAAGTTCCCAGAATCTTCATACTGTACCCATGGCTCTGGTTTTTGGAGAGTGAGGTTTATAGTGTTGGGGAATGGTTTTGGGAAGGTATACTGCCCACATGTCTGGTGGCACATTGGCACTGCTGAGGCCTTGGGGGAAAGCCCAAAGTGGTTAATCATTGTTAGCTCTGGCTGCAGGGTCCGCTTGGTCCTGTCTCTGAGGGAAGCTGTTGTCTGCCTTGTTGACCTAGTTGGGGGATACTTGAGGGACAGGCTGTCTGAGAAACATCAGTCAGTGGAACCCTGGGCCCTGGGTGAGAGAGAAGGAAGTCACCGTCCACTTTAGGCCTCTAGCCTGAATGGCCCACATACCCCCACTCTCCCTGACATGGTAGACACTCTGGAGTCTCCATTCCTTGTGGCCCAGCCTCTTTGGCCATGCCAGGTCATAGAGGTTACTTAGTTCACTGATTTGGCCTGAGGTGAAATGATTCAAATTAATTATTATTCTGAACCACACTCCAGCAATTTCCCTGGGGTTCTGGCCTCTTGTCCTCACATAGGCTGGCCATAGGTCAGTCAGCCTGTTCTTCCAAGTCCCAGCTAGAGGGAGGAAAGGTGGTGGGTCAGGCGCTTACCTTTATCCTGAGACTGGGGGAACCCATGCGCTGGAGGCTTTCCCTTGGTCACAGGGGGCTGAAATCCTTACACTGGTGTCTACCAATGTATGTATTTCCAATCAGGTTGTAGCACCTCTGACATTAATCGCTCCAGAATCTTGTGAAACTCTTGTTTTGATTCAAGTCCCAACCACAGTGGCTCAGACTGTCTCCGCAGCTGGGGGGACCACATTGGAGGTCTGAGTTCAATTTCTCATGGTGTTTTGCACCTAAAAGCCTCATGACTCAGAGACAAAGGTAGAATTTAGGTGAGCCTGGTAACAAAGGGAGAGCCTGCCTGAAAAAGTGCCAGGAGTGGTGGGAGTGCTTATATACAGTCACAAACATGGAGAGGAAGTATCTTACTAGATCTAGGACCCTGCTTGTGACACTGAAATTCTCACCAGTTCTAGGCGGGGCTGCTGCAGTCTGTCCAGAGGTGCTGGTCCCTGGGCCACCTGGGCATAGCAGAGGTCTAGTGGCTCCACTTTCCTTCCTCTGTGATAGGTGGCACAGATAATGGAATGGGGGCCCAGGTGAGACAACTGCAAATCCGCCCGGGGGCGCCATAATTCTACAGAGGTAACCCCATGGCGCCCCCTGGTGGAGGTATTGCCAGTGCAGCCCACAGCGGGGCCGCTGTAGGTGCTGCTTCTAGAAGGTACTTTGGGAGGATAGCTGGCGTGCGTCATTTGGCCAAACCTGGTAAGTCCCAATATTGGGTATTATAGACAGGGTGCCCTTAGTCAAGAGACGGCATCTTAGGGTTCCAGGTCAGGAGCCTATGCTTCAGGAGCTGCTTGGAGAGAAAGGAAGGGGTGGGTTTGAGGCCGCACTGTGGATCTAGGCTTTGTTTTTGCAAACTGAAGGTAGATCACATGGCCAAAGCCAGGGGCATGGGACTCAAGATTTCAGCTGGCATTTTATACTGGAGGGCTATTTAGCCTACTCCTAATCATGGCCCACCTCTTAGATAGGACTTTTTCCCTTAAGAAGAATTTTGTTTAATTTGACCAAAGAATTTTATTTTAATTTGTCCAAAGAAAGACTAAAGAGAGAGGGGGACAAAGTGAGAGAGGGGGGAAAAAGAGAAAAAGTGAGAAAGTAAGAAAGCAAGCCACCCGCCAGGTCCAGGTGTTGAACCGGGTGGCCATGCAGGAGTCCAATGGCCTTAACCACCATGCCCTTGGCCAGCCATTAGACAGGACTTTTAACCTTTGAGACTAAGCTGGTCTGTGGATCTCTGCCTCCACCCCATCCCATAAAATGGGCCAACTATCACCTTAGGGGGAAGATACAGTTTCTTAGTGCCCACAGTGTTGCAGGTAGTGGGTGAGGCCAAAGGTCCCAGAGGTTCATATCTTTGATTTCCCTAGTGACTAGGCAGTTACCAGGAGAGGTGACACTGGGGAGACACCTCCCAGAGGCAAGGGTCAGTGTGTACCCAACTCCAGGACATGCCCCTCCAGTTAACTGCCCCCCAGCCCTTCTTCCTGTGCCTTCTCCATCCTTCTCTTCGTAACTTAGGACTCAGAGCCCCAGCTGGTGAGGGAGGCAGGGGTGAGTGACAGGCCAGCAGACCAATGGGCCCTGGAGGATGGGGTAGGGCGGGGCTTCTGCTGCCATGGAGAGGAGAGAAGCTGTTCTGTGGGGGAGGAGGGGGAGGTGGGAAGAGGACCTGGAGATTGAGGGGAAAGGGAGAGAGCAAACAAAGGGGTCAGGAGGGAAAATAATGCACTAGCTTCCTGAGGCCCTGCAGAGGCTGGGCAGGGAAAGGGGGCCAGGGGCAAAGGGGATTGAGGCTGTCCTCAGGCCGGCCAGGGCAGGCAGATCCCAAATGGCATTGTTTGAAGGAGCCAGCTAATTGCACAGAACAGCCTGAGCCTGGGACCTCAGCCCCGGCTCCCTCCTCTGTACTGGGTGCTGGCATCTGAGACTTCAGACTGTCTGACAACATGGAACCAAGTCCCGAGCCTCCGGATTTGGTGAGGAAGGCCCTGGGAAACCGGCTGGCTATCCGACTGACTGTCCGGAGGCAGGAGTATCCCCTTGAGAAAGAGGCATCCAGCCTCTCTTGGCCCGGGGGATGGTAGGGCAATGGTGGGAGGTACAGGGTGCATTGCCCTCTGTGCCCTCCCTAACTACCTGCTTGCCCTTCCCCTGCAGGAAACAATGAAGGGGGACACCAGACCTCTCAATGGAGAAGAGGATGCCAGCGGGAGGGAAGACTCCATTATCATCGTCAATGGGACATGCAGTGACCAGTCCTCCGACTCCAAGGACGCCCCATCACCCCCGATCCTGGAGGCTATCCGCACCCCGGAGATCAGAGGTGGGACACCTGACTGGTCAGTCTGGGATACAGAGGGTGGTCAGCTGCGGACACAGTGAGACATCACTGCAGACCCTGAGCATCCTCAGACTCTAAGAGATCAGGGCTCTGAAAACTTCCTCCACATAGGGGAGAAACAGTTCCCTTGAGGACACAGGACCGAACTCCTTCCCCATAGCTGCCCATACACCCCTCATGCTCCATCAGTTCACCTGGGACTCTGAGGAGAGTGACATCAATAGGCTAAGATCACTGACTCTTCTTAGGTGGGCCCTCTGTCCCCATGGTACTGAGACTGGGGCTGCGATGAGACAAAAATGACTGAGATGAGAGAGGGGGAGGCCAGAGGATCACTTCCTGTCCTATCCCCACCCCTTCTTCAAGAGTCACATGGATTCTGTCCCAGCTGGTTTGCAAACCCCTTGACAGTCTCCACCCTGGTGTTGATATCTGGGTCATGCAATAGAACTTAACTGCAGGAGGGGAAAGTCTGTTTTCATCATTCACAACACACTTGCCACGTGCGAGCACTTGAAATGTACCCGGACTGGCAGACTCAATTGTGTAGTTAAATGTGCGCTCACTGAACAGGCCAGCTCCCTTCTGGAGGAATCCGCAGTATTGGTTTTAGGTCCTATTATCTGGCCTGACCCTGTGCTTTTAAAAAGGAAATGGAGGGAACTAGGGATACTAAGGAATGAAGAGTTAACCCTAAGGATGACCTTGGTTTAGGGGAATCCCAGGTCACAGCCCTGAGAGGAAGCCACAGAACACAGCAGGGTAAGGGAGGCCATTCCATAGGCTGGAGCCTGCTGCTTCCTCAACAGCCTCCTGCCTGTTTCCTCCACAGGCCGCAGATCGAGTTCTCGGCTGTCCAAGAGGGAAGTCTCAAGCCTTCTAAGTTATGCCCAGGTATGGCCTCATTTCTATTTCTCAGGGTTGAAGAACACTTATTCACCATTTACCAATGGGGGCACCCTCCTACACAAGTGGGCATCCATTAACATGGGTGTCTATAACTTAAATTAAGTACTTTTAATAATTTGTTTTGCAAAATTATGAAATGTGGTTTTATTAAATACTTCCTGATTGTTTTTGAGTATTCATTATATGGATGATCTGCTATACTGAAATTATCAATATAGTGTATTATAAATGATAGTAAACTGCTTTTATTCATGGGATAAGTCCAGTGTAGCTTTTGATATGGTTTGATTTTGATTTTACTCATCTATTTGTGAGTAAATGGATATATATTATTCTTTTTAAAGAATTATTTATTTTAATTTGACCAGAGAGGGACAGAACTAGAAAGACGGACAAAGAGATAGATAAGATAAAGTGAAGAAAGCAAGCCTCCAGGTTCATTACTTACCATACCACCTGCCAGTCCCTATTGTGACTTTTAAACTATACTGTGTTTCCTTCATAAAGGACCTGACAGGGGATGGAGATGGTGACGAGGAAGACAAAGATGGCTTTGATACTCCAGTAATGCCAAAACTCTTTCGTGAAACCAGGTCTCGGTCTGAAAGCCCCGCTGTAAGTCCACACGTCTAGCCAAGCCCGTACTTGTGTCATAAACATGCCTTAGTGACTACCTGGGTGGCTTTAAAGAGAACTGAAAAAGGGAGATTTTAAAGTGACAGCACAGTTAAAGCATTGTCACTGGTGGCAGTTTCTTTCTCATGCCATGTCTTTCACACGGCAGGTTTCAGTTCTTCCTAGAGACAGTCTTAGACGTGCCCAAAGGTGACATTCCATGGCTTTAGATTTGCAATGGGAGTCAATGAATGCTCATGCTGATCTGGTCCCTGAGAGGACAGGTTTGGTGATATTCTAGGAGTAGGGTGACAATTAATTCTTGCGTGCAGAGACTGCACTCAGGTGTATAATACGTTAATCCTTGCTATTAAGAGCATGTTGTAGCCCATGGGTTACTACAAGTTAAAGCTCCACTACCTTCCAGAAGAACCCAGCAATTACCTTTATACTTCTGTTTCAGTAAACATTTGTAGTGTAACATGGCCTTTTTAAAAGTTTCTTTAAAAAAAAGATTTTATTTAACTTCTTTGTTTTAATGTGACCAGAGGGATACAGAGAAAGATAGAAAGTAAGAAAGCAAGTTGCCAATCCAGGACTCAAAACAGAGTCAGCCACATGAGTCCAACGTCCTTAACCACCACACCATCTGCCACCCCTGTTTCCTTCTAAAAAACGGTTCACTAAAATGTATTTACTCAAAGCTAAAAAAAAAAATGTATATGTGTGTGTGTGTACACATGCGCACATGTGTGTATATAAATTATTTTTTGGTTGCCACATCTGGGACTGTTATCTGCAACATGGGAGTCCTGTGCCTCAAAACACCATGCCACCTGCCTGCACAAGTTTTATTTCTCCCAAGAAAGAACTGATAGAGACCTACACCCACCCTCAGC